CACCTTCATCTGGTTCAGGTACCAATATAGCTGGTGCATCTCTGTATTACAGATGGGAGCGCAACTATCAGCGCTGGCCATTATAGCTAATGCTGAAAGAGGATGGGAGCATCATCTGGAAGGTCATGAGTGCACCCACGTTTGCTTTTTAGTCTCGGTGGCAGATGTTCTGGAATCAACATGGGAGGTTGCGCGTTCCTCTGTAGATTTGAAATGGAGGCCACTGCATCAGAGAATTTGCATAGAAATTCTTTTGCCAAAATAAACCGATCCCTAATCTACACTGTGTACCTGAGGATTCCTTTCTCTGTGTAGCTCTTGAATCACATTACTTATCTGACATTTTGGCACTCTGAACAGCTATGTAGGTGGGAGAGGACTTTTAGTCTTGCCTTGAATTTATCCTGTCTCCATGCAGCACCATTACAGAGAGAATTGTCTGCTGCCAGACTTCCTCCAGAATCCTTAAAAGTTTGGGTGCAGTAGTTGTTGCTAGAGGGATCCGCCATGGTGTAATAGGTTGGAGTGATGGACTAAGACACAAGGAGGCCAGGGTTTGAATTGTCACTGTGCCATGGAAATCCACCGACTGATCTTAGGCAAGTCATTCTTTCTAAACCTTCAGAAGAAAGAAGAGGCAACCCCCGCTACAAATCTTGCCAAGGAAATCCCAGTAGATTCATCCTGAAGACACACAACAAAGATCTTGGTTGCCTTCACACACAGGGCCCCAAGTTTTTTGTAATTACACTGTCGTTTGCTGTAAGGTTTGGGATTTATCACTGGTGCAAACAATCCCACAGCATTCCCAAAATTCATCCTCGCCTAATACATATGAAGAGCCTAAATACCGGAGAAGCACCAGATTCTGTCTGATCTTAGCTTAGTAGGGTCAGCCCTAGTTGGTACTTGAATGGGAGGCCACCAACGAATACCAGGTCCTATAGGTTATTTCAGAGGAAGGAACTGACAGTGACCTCCGAGAAAACCCTATGAAATTCATGGAGTCACCATAAGTCAGCAGGCAACTTGAGAGCACATGCGCACAGACAGACAGCTCAGAAGGCCCCAGATGCTTTGGATTACAAATCTTGGCATCCTTCTATTAATTTTGGGCCACATTTCTCACTCTATTATCCATGTTGGCTGAGACCGACAGACACCACGCTTCAAATCATCTGGTGGTTAAGTTCCTACCCATGCCTGCGCAATGCAGATTTCAGCCTAACATATACTTCCCTTTCAAACATTTGTCATGCAAAAGAAAGAATTTGGCTTTTTAAGTCTCATGAATTTAACACTTTTAATGTTGTCATTTTAGCCTATGGATCCATCCATCCCCCCCCCCCCGTTTTTTAAAAAATCAGTAATATAATTTCTTGTACCTATTTAAGGAAGCTACCGTTGAATTAAGACAAAGCTACTATATTGTATAGGAATGTGCTTCTTGAGAAGAATTTGGCTGGACCACATTTCACCATACAGCAATGGTTATCACTTTTATTAGGAAACATTCATATGACTATCCATAGGAAACAGACTATATAGCTCAGGGATAGCAGATCAGTTCTGCAAATAGGTTCAGTTCCTGGCATTTCCAAGTACAGGAAGAAAGAATCCTGCTTGCAAACAAATTAAGTAACTACCCATGTTCTTCATAGTTTGTGTGTATGCATGCTATGTGTTGTGTCTTGCTAAAAAGGGCAATTCTTCTAAAGTACAAATTTCCAGAAGAGCAAATAAAAAAAAGGTCAAGTTTAAAATTTATTATGTAAGAAACTTTTATAAAAAGTTTTTTTACAAAGTAAATACAACTTATGGATGCAGAAATTCACCTTCCTGCAAAATAAAAAGGTACACGTGTTATCTCTATTATAGAGTTCAACAATTAAAAACCACGAGGCAAAAGAGCCCCAGGACAGTTCCAATTTTCATATTCTTAAAGAGTCCCTTCCCCTTTCCCCAAAATCGACGTTAAAAAACTATAATCCAAAATATACACAAAAGCTGAATATCTGCCGGAGGTTTTGCGTTTGACGGGGGAATGACAAAACTGTCCATCTTTTTTCATAGAAATGTTGCAACGGGTGGAAGCCTGCAAGTGACACTTCATGGAGATCTCCAAACGGAAACCAATCAGATGGCTCTGAGGCTGCTTCTTCTCTTCCACCCATCCATATATTTATATATATATATATATATATATAAAAAAAC